CGGCGTTGCTCTGTACTATCGGAATTGTCTGAGATGTGAGGCTATTAACGAACGTCACCTTGCTGTCTCCGACGCTTTGTTTTGCCGAATGCAGCTAAATGGCCGAGGTGGTGAACCTTCGAAGAAGACGTGGGATGCTTGTCTGTTGGCAGTTGTCTACAGGCCACCGAACTCCACCGCAGACCGAGATGACATTCTGTTAAACGCGCTTCATTATGCAGTTTCTCAAAAGTACTCACATTGTCTAATCATGGGCGATTTTAATGTACCCTCAATTGTCTCAGCGACTTCTAGTGGTCCTTACTTCAAATCAAAGATTCTCGAGTTTATGGATACAGCAGCTCTGTACAACCACGTGCACCGACCAACTAGACACCGCGGTTCAAATAAGCCATCGCTTCTGGATTTAATCCTAACCAACGAAGAGTTGATGATTGAGACAATTTCATACGATCCACCATTAGGCAACAGTGATCACTCAGTGTTAAATTTTGCCTGTGTTACGCCAATACTACTGAAATCAGACATGAAAACCGACGAACTATAACCAACTATTCCGTGCTTCACAGCCTAGCGACAACCGTCAACTGGGACCTCAATCTGCAGAGCACGGCAGACGACGCGTGGAACGAACTAAAAGACAAAAGTAGCTGTGTCACGCAAGCAGCCTCAAAGTCATACCATTACGAGTGCCGCGCTGGACCAACACCTGGATCCGAAGCAGAACGCGTAAATGGATTAGCAACAGAGACGAGATCTGGAGATAATACGCGCTGAACAATTGCGACGCCACCTGGGAGAATTACAAAACAGTGAGGAACTATTGCACATCATTGATTAGAGCCGATAAGTACGAATGGCAAAAAAACATGGTACTTAAATTCACGAACAATACAAAACTGCTGTACAGGTACGTGAACAGCAGAAAGAAAGTTAAAACAGGAATACCACCACTCAAGACGGATGGTGGCTTAACGACTACTGCTGTGGATGCTGCGAACGCATTACTTCTGCAGTTTGGCACAATGACTGCAAACGCCATAGAACCTTTGCCAAACCAGCATTCACCCAATGTGGTCGGTATATCAACTGTCACTTTTACCTCAGCAGCTGTCGCTAGCAAATTACGGTCTCTAAGAGAAAATAGCGCTCCGGGAGTCGACAAGATCAGACCCAAAGTTCTTAAAACTCTTGCTCCCATCATAGCAGCACACCTCGCAAGCTTTTTCCAAAGTCTACTCAATTCCCAAACACTTCCGTCTGAGTGGAAAAGCGGGATAGTCACTCCGATATACAAAGGAGGTAAGCGATCGGATCCTGCCAACTACCGACCCATTACTCTCCTCTTTGTTTATCAAAAGTAATGGAATCGTTAGTTGCAGAGGAAATTACACGATATTTTGAGAGTCTGAAGCTAGTTTCTCACCTTCAACACGGTTTTAGGCACAAACAATCTTGCCTCACAAATCTGCTTCTTGCTCGGGATTCATGGACCAAAGCGCTTGATGAAGGATCCCCTTTGATGTGATTTACTTAGACTTTTCGAAGGCATTCGACAGAGTCAATCACTTAGCTCTGCTTCATAAGCTTCGTGCCTACGGTATCCATGGTTCCCTACTCACCTGGCTAGCAACATATTTGCATGACAGAACGATCAAGGTCAGAGTCGCCGATGCCCTCTCGGAAACCCTCTGCATCTCCAGCGGTGTTCCTCAAGGATCCGTCCTTGGTCCCTTCCTTTTTCTGGTCTACATTAACGACCTCCCGGATAATATTTAATCCTCGGTGCAAATTTTTGCAGATGACGCAAAAATCTGGAGAGTTATTCGCTCAACATCAGACTGTGCCCTCCTCCAGAATGATTTAGATCGAATCAACAAATGGGCAGATATAAACCACCTCCCCCTGAATCCTGTCAAGTGTCACCTACTGTCATTGCGCAGCAATCTTACCAACATGTAACTCTTGGGGCAGTACGTTTTACGGCGGGTGACCACAGAATCATCATCATCATACACGTTAGCTAGAGGTGGGGAACACCTCAGCTACTGTGCCGCAGAAAGAGACTTAGGTATCATTGTGCAAGAAAGTCTTGGGAATTCGCTCCAATGTTCGAAAGCAGCAAACGTGGCGAACATGAATCTGAGACTTTTGAGGCGAGCTTTTGGTGTTTTTGAACGACGGTTGGTACCCATGCTTGTCAACTCCTATATCCGTCCCCACGTCGAATATGCCGTCCAGGCTTGGTGCCCATGGTTAAAACGGGACATTCAGCTCTTAGAGCAGCCCCAACGAAGAGCTACGAAGGCAACACGCGGATTATCTGGTCTCAATTATGAAGTGCGTCTCAGTTTAATCGGAATGTTTTCCTCCGAATACCGACGACTACGCGGAGATCTCATTCTCGCATACCGGATATTAACGGAAAGCGATCACCCGTGCAAATCGCTACTCACCATAGCCTCATATAAGCGATCGAGAGGTCATAACCTCAAGCTGATAATCCAACACTCCCGATTCGACTGTAGAAAATACTTTTACTCACTTAGAATCTGTTCACAACGGAATGACTTGCCAACGCATGTGCTAAACACTCCGAACATTACAGCCTTCAAACAATTGTTAGACATTCATCTGAGTGACAAACAACACATTGTGGTGTGATGTACGAGGTTTAGACTATTGGCATTTCAGTTCCACGTCGGAATCTAATGATTTTTATTTATTTTGCATTTACCATCCTATGGGTCTTGTAAAGCCAATGCTTTTTATCCCATCGTACACTATTGAACGCTATTGAACTAACCGGTCTATAATTCGCAAGAAAATGTTTGTCACCCTTCTTGAAAATGGGGCATACTAGCGCCTCTTTCCAGTTAGAAAGTAAAGAGCAGTGGATAAGGGACCTCTCAAACAAACGCATGATCGGCTCACAAAGCTCAGCTGCGAGTTCGTATAACAACTTAGGGTAAACAGCATCCGTAACAACCGCTTTGGTAAGATTTAGTTACTATAGTAGCACGTGCACCTGAGTCACTGTAACGTAAAGGTTCGTCAGCAGAGTCAGACGGAACTCTTATCTCATAGGTAGCAACCAAGATTCAGTAACAGATGCCTCGTATACTGTTCTGCAAGCAAATAAGCTCTAGCATGACTCGCGTAAGTCGCAGTGTCATCGGGACTAAACAAATCTGGAAGGAGTTTAGATCAGTCCTCGTTTTGATACAGGCGAAGAAGCGCTCTGGATTTATTGAAGCCGTCGGCCAACTGCATTTCACAGAATAGTCGATCAGCAAGCAAATGTTGCTAACAGGCATTCTGTGCTTTGCGACAGAGCCAAAAAGCGCTCTCTGAGGAACCCGACCGACAAGTCTGCCAGCACCTGGTCTGTCCGTTCATCATTCGACAGGCAGCTGAATCAAACCACGATGACTTCGGCTTTCTAATCTTACAGTAATGGAGATATGAGGGAGAGACACCTCAGAGAGGTAGGACTTGAAGTAATCCCACGCGGTCTGGAAGTAATCGCCAGAAGAAATGATGCAAGGTGAATTTGAGACCTTAATTCCGATTGCGGGGAAATCTGCTCGCCATTTATTAAGACTCAGGATGTAAGCTGTGTGATCATGGAAAAGGGCACACTTTAATGACAAACAAACGTGATCGATAGCCCCCAGAGGCGATTCACAAGTCCGCTCATAAAAGCTGTAGAATTAGTGAAGACCAGATATAAGAGGGATAGGGCCTGAATTTCCATGGACCTTGTGGGCTGATCAACGAACTGGTGTAAGGATACCCACAACGTTGGGTCGAGAAGAGCAGTGGCCAGCGACCCAACTGCTGACTGACATGTAAAAGCCTGTTAGCCTATCTCTGGGAGGTTAAAATCTCTCATAATTAGGCATACGGCAGTCGACTGAATGCGAATGAAGTCAACAAGCAAATTAGAAGTACTATCAGGTGCCCAGTATACAATGTTTAGCTGCTTAGAGCTGCCCACTTCAACCGAAAGGGCTTCTGCAGCCCCATGCGATGAGTACAACATGCGTATTTTGGAAATGATTAAGTTAAATCTGAGATACGGAGCTACGCCTCCCCCATGATGGTCTAATGCGCGGTAAGCTCTCAGTAATGCGTAGCCTTGTAAGCCTACTGCACCGTCCGTGAGGTCGGATGGCAACAACAACAAGTTTCGGTGAATGCAAGCTCGACAGTGCTCTACAAAAGCGCCTACCTCGCACACCTTGTTTCGCAAGACACTCAGGTTACTGAGAACTACCGAGATAGTGAGACACCAAAATGGGGTCTGGTAGGGCATAAGTGGACCACCGGCTCACCACCCAAAAAAATTCCAACCAAAGACTATTCTCTCTGGTGTCATGGCGCCCTTCGGTAGTCCCTTGTCGGTAGCCCTGTCATTCACAGGTAGATCAGACTGCACACTGACCCCACAACACTTGAGTTTGAAGGTAAAGTGCAGAAGTACCTGGAGCTCATCTGCAGTAGGACAACCCACAACAGACGACGGTGGCTCGGCTCGTCAACCTGTACGCTACCAAGCTTCGTGAGTTTTCTCACTGTTACCGCGAGGAAGGGCGTAATTTAGAAACCCAAAGCCTAAACCATTGGAGGTCCTTCATGGTACGCTCAGTCGGAAGAGTGGCAGATGGCGCAGATACTCCCCTAAATATCAGGCTACAGCCGGTAAATAAATCGCAACAACGAAAAGTATTTACTGTACGTGTCACAAAACCAAATGGGCGCATGCCCATACCAGGCCTTGAAGGTTCTGGAGATGCAAGAGTCGATGCCTGAGGCGATAAACCATTGGGAATTACAGTCAAAGGAACGAATTGCAAAGCATCTGTAAAGACGGTGTGACAATTTTCACTCTCTTTCACCTTCTTTTGGTAGAAGGGCATGCACTTCTACATCACTAAGGGCGGGATAAAAACACAACCGGATTGCTGGACCCAGTGAGCCTGCAGCAGGTCAACCAACAGACACGATGTCCCGGGCTTGATGCTCAGTCCAGATTATAGTTATGGGAAGGTTTGAGGGCAAAACTGATTATGAATTGCTATTTTTGTAGCAAGTAACTGTGAAGTGTCTCAATGTAAAGTACACTGTAGGTTCACCGGAAGTCGAATGCTACTTTCACGTAAATAACCGATTCAGTACCGAAAACAAAAAAGCAGGAAATACATAAACTGAACAATAAGGAAATAGCAGTTATTCACATTTCTAACAGTGACAGGTAGGCTAAACGAACGATGGAACTGTGGACAATCACTGGGACATGATGATGTGTGCGTTCATGCGCCTAAAGTGGCAACGGATTCGTAAAAGGACGTGGCAGCGATATGCGATAACAGATAGAAATTGCCCACGAACGACGCGCCAATGTCAACAGCATCCCAAAAGACACAGTATGAATTAAAGTGAATAAAGCCAATCGTATGGGGCGACAAATGAAAGTACAAGATAGAAAAGTAGAGGGGCGGTAGTGCAATAGAATGCATATCAGTACAGCTGAAGCAAAAAATCGACATTGGAACCCAGCAGTAGCCAACATCACGTGACACCGCTAACAAAAAAGGTTGAAAACGAGAAAAGTTTACAGAGGAAAAATTCGCTGCAAATTCATGCGGTAGAAATTCGACCAGCAAGAATGAGAAAGTAGTCCCATGTGAATACATTGAATGTAAGTATCACGGTTTCCATCCAAATCCTGTGTTCATTGGGAGGTCGCTGCAGCACCCGGACACGGAGTCACTTAGAGGAACTCCAGGCCTGACGCAACTGACATGTTGGTTCCTTGACAGTTGTTCGGCCAGTTTCTCACTTTTAAATCTCCGCTCGTTACACAATTTTCGAAGGGGAAGGAATTGCTCCAAAAAACGATCGGCGTCCAGGGACTCATTGACAAATTGATCTGCAAATTTCTGTAGATAAGGTATCACAAGCAGATTCAGGAGGTACCTCAGACTGCTCTTCTAACTGGGCGGTCGCTGCTTGCATCAGAGCTAGAACCGTGCTCGGAGAATAGTTGTTGCTTAAGCAATCTTCAAACTAAAATAACTAATAACACAACAGCCCAACCTAATTCCAATTTTAATCGCTGATAGTCTGCAGCGGCCTCTGCAAGACGGGCATACGTGTCGACGAGCTCTTGCCGCTTTGCTAAAAAGGATGGTTCCATAGCAAGATTCGCTTCGGCCAATTTTCGATTCTCTAACATACTGGATTCTTTCATGGAAATTGATTTTTTGACCTATTATCGGAAATACATGAAGCAAATACGCAGGGAAGGATTACCTCAGGTCCGCTTTTGGCCAACTTCTTTATTTCTTCCGCATCATTCATCAGGTTTTCTAGGTCTGCTTTTGATAGGCGATCCAACTGATTGATGATACCATCTGGTTGATCAGGACCATTGTGATCAACAATCGGGAAATTGGGAATAAACGCCATCACCTAAGAAGAAAGATGTCTATCAACGTAACAAAAGCCCGATAATGCTGGCAATTAGTGAGGCGCTGTTAATTAAGACCTATCAATCTGTCCTATGTGCACAGAAACTCTTGAGGCAATCATTTCGGTTGCCATGGTCATGACTGTAACATTGTGCTTATTTTTCCATGTATATAATCGTTTGAGTGTTTCTGCTCGTATTGCATTTGCGAGTGAAGATAACAAGCGAAATTTCGACATATGGCAAGCACTGCCTTCTCTTTGCCTCGACAAAATATATATGTACCTATAGCCGAATGAACATAGACCTAGTCAAAGTAGGGTAATCAAGTGAACTAGGAAGCGTGGTGGTTAGAAATAGCAAAACAGCATTTTTCGTTTTTATACACAACTCGTCTCTTCCATAATGTTATTGTAGCAAAGTACGTGAGACGGGAGCTTAGGCAGACCTTAATTCACGCACACACACACACACACACACACACACAGAATCCTGAGAATGCACAGCACAAGAAAACAGAAATCGGCGAGACTGGCAATCGATACAGTGGTGGAACGGAGGTACCGATGACCGCCTACGAAGCCTGGTTTGTGAAAGGGAGGGGGAAAATAGTTAGTGAGATGAAATGAAGTAAAGGAATGAGAAAAAAAGATCATCACTGTCATCTGACAAGTAACAGTACCAAGCCAGTGGAGGATGACGGCAGAGTAGGAGCGTACGGCGAACCGTTCCTACTAAGACCACATGACATTACCCGTCCTTGAATTATCATTCTCAGTCAAGAAAACCTCGGCACTAAGAGTTCAAAATTATGGAAGACAGATGGGCGTCCTGGGTCTAAGTACACATTTGAAAAGGTAGGCTTAACCGTCAAAGTAGTCAATGCGTAGCGGTCACAGAGGCGTAACGACAAGATGCTACATGAATATATTCTCCGTCAAGCTAACGGTTTCCCCAAGGATGGAACAGGATATCAATGAAACATCATTCATGAGTGAGATAAGGTTTCACTGGCTGGGTGCGTAATACTGTAAGCGCAAAGCGCGAGTGTCAACCTCTGAACCTTCTGGACACCCTGCATCATCCCAAATTGGGTAATCGAAATAAAACCGTACTCGGTAGGCAAAAGGTGAGCACTCGTAGCACGCATATAGAAAAAACTAAGTTACTTTTATTACTTGATGATCTAAGGAATCTAAGGATATGCGCACATTAACACTGCGGATATGTTGGTGCCATCCGACAATCGCAGACGTGGAGGCGCCCCTGAAATCCAGACCGAAGGGGTTGGATTTCACTTACATAAGAGAAAATGACCTTCACTGTGGCTTGGAGTATGGAATTGTTCAGACCAAGGAAAGTCCGTCTCTGGCGCCATAGATTCAAGGTGTTAGAAAAAGGTTGGTAGTCATGCAGCAGCACTGCAATTTCAAGGTGCCAAGAGGTGGAATCAATCTATCCTCTAACCTGAACCCCAATCCGCCCTGCTCGCTGTAGCAGATAGGGCACCGTTGATCATCCTTTGCGACGGACAGAACATCAAGAAATGCTTTGAAGGTCAGGGTATTGTGTGAGCAGGATATTGCCAGGCTGCCCAGGCCCAGACACGACAGTTAGGGTAGTCAACCGAAGCCTTTGGTTTAAAAACTTGATCGCAAGGCGGTGGGTTTGGCAGTAGGCTACAAGGAGTCCATTTTAAGGAATAAAAAGTCACCTTCACTTCAACCCCAAACATAGAGGACCAAAAGACTGAGTGATAAGGAGCTACCGATGGTTGAATTGTTTTCAATTACGCTGTGGATGACAACTATTAGTAATGAAAATCGTCAGGGGTGTAAGAAAAACATGGAAAAAAGAGAAGTCTCAGAAGCGGGATGTCATCGCTTATTTCTTACCGCATGTAGCAGATGAGGCGGCGAACCTAGGAATGAAGTACGTTTCAGAGGAAGTAAATTGCATCCGAATAAAAATGCCTTTATGAGAAAACGAGATGAGCCAATGGTGCTTAGCGAAAGTATAAAACGGTTCCATAAAAATTGGAGTCCGGAAAGCGACAAACACACATACCTACACATCGGTTAACTCGGTACTGAACTATTATTTTTGGCCGTTATCCTAGTCGTTCCAGAAGTTAAATATAATCGTGCTAACCAGTAAACACATGTTTATCTTTTGGCCTCTTGTATCGCTTGGATAGATGTCACCTAAGTATGTTTCTGAGTCGAGATCGTTGAAGTCCTGATTTTGGCCGGGATTAGAGCTCACCGCCAATATGACATTTTAACCGGAAGCACACGGAAGATATGCTTGAAGGTTGGTGATGAAATCATACATGGCTATACATGGGCCAGGTAACTGCCAATTCGAATAAACTCAGGCAGCCGAACGATTATGGTCCTCAACAAATCGGGGTCAAAAGTCATCAATATGAACAGCAGTACATAAACTATTTGACTGATGCTTCGCTGCCGTACAACCATGATGACCAATGGAATAAAGAACAATAAGAGGGAGAGAAGGGGAACCTGGCGTAAAACCTGGATGTCTTAAACAAACACACAGGGTGAAGGCGCCTAAACCTTGTCAAGAACATATCATTATAGAAGAGTAGTAGGGGGAGTTGAATGTTATAGGTAGAAATTCATCACATCTAGGCTCACTCAGACAGTTGTCATACGCCCGGAAAAGCACTGTACGCGCGTTTCATCCTTTCGGGAATCATCAGCAGTGCGCATTCCATCGGACCCCTGGTAGGGCTCGAACCCGCAACTCGACTGTTGCCAGTCCGTGGTTGAGACCACTGAGTTACGGGGGATGGCAACGACCATCGTGAATAAGTTACTAGATGTGATATAGCGCCGCTCACTATCCACTGACTTACACCGTTACTGCCGTGCAGAGGACAGGGTAGCCCCCTCACCAAGCGACGAGCTTACCAAACTTAAGCTGCCAATTAACTTATGGCATTATAAGCACTTTGGTTTGTGTACTGATTATATCATCGCAAACAGCTGACTAACGTGCAAAGATAACGCAGCTATCTGCTAGACAGCTTCTTTGAGACTTTCACTGCCCCGAGCCATAATCAGCCATTACCCCGCAGATAACTCAGCAACAAATACAGTTTAAACATGCAGACCGACTAGGGGACGACAGAAGACATACCATTGGTGTCGACTGCGATCCATGTCTTGTAACATCTCAAGTAAAGCACAAGGCGGGTCACATGGACACCAGCCTGGAAGGCGAGACGGACCAACGGCACCCAGTTTGGTCGTCAGTAACTTCGTTTCCCGCTGCCAAATTAATTTTGACCACCTCGGGCCTTGTGCCCCCCCCCTACGTCTGGGAAATAAAACAACGCCTTCCTCGGTAAGCAGGCATAGGTAGCACGTGCCCAAGCCAACACAACTTATTTAGCGCTATCTGTTGTTCTAGGGAGCTAGCATGATTATCAGTGCCTAATACTTTCTTACACACATCGTTGCGGACACGCTAGTGCCACCCGACACGAGCAATGCTTCGCAGACAACGATGATCAAAGATCTGAAGGCGCCTTAGATCTTCTAACCGAAGGAGCCAAGTCTCACTAAGATAGAGTAGGGCTGTCCGCACTGTATACACTTGTATACACGGCGTTTCAGATGGAGGGAAAACTTCTTTCTGACGTCAGATTCAAAAATACAGTTCTAGCTTTAGAAATGCATGAACTGACTTCAGTCGTTATGCCCCCATCATTGCCGATGCGGCTGCCAAGGTATGTGAAGTGATCAATTACCTCAATTTCTCGCCATTAAGAATCAAGGGGTTACCAAGTGGCTGGAGGTCCTGTAACAACATTTTACAGGCTGAAGGTGCGAAGCACATGCCAAATGATGAGACTAGTATAGAGAGGTTATTCAGGGTTGATTGCGCCATCCCAACATTCTTGAACAACAACGTAATGTCGTCCGCGTAAGTAAGATTAACTAGCATCGTACCAAGCAGCACCTTAAGGCCTGCATCGTGAGGCTGTCCAAAGAAAAACTCCATGAGTCAACGATGAAAGTGAAGGAAAATGAGGAATTAGACAACGCTGATAAACGCCACTACTTGTCGGAAAAATACCAGATAGGTCACCGTAGACCTTGACGCGGCCTGTAGTGTTCGAGTATAGAGCCAGTGAAATGTTTACATATTGCATGAGAACACTTTTCCGTTCAAGTATTCCGAACAGAATGAAACGATAGATTGAATCGAACGCATTCTTGAAGTTCAGAGGCACAGCTATTGTCTGTCTGCAGTATGCGTGTCGCTGCTCCAAACAACTCCGTCTTTGGCAGAAGCCTGCCTACTCTTCTCTAATCCGGCATTCTCGATCTACAGTGACGCGACGAAGGAAAAAATAAGTCAGTCATGCTGTCACCATCGGCGTTAGGATAATACCCCTGGGGTTAGCACAGTCGAGGTGGTTGCTTAACTTGTATATCGCCACTATAATTGATTCACTCCAGTTAGCTGGTACGGCCTCTTCCTTCCAGACCTGTTCGAACAAGGTCAGTGCTTGGCAGAGGAGCTCACCACCAACCTTAAATAGTGTGGACGCGAAGGAATACGGGCCAGAAGCGTGAAAAGGATTAAGGGCTGCGAGCATATTCCAGATCTCTGCCTCCGATGGAGCCTCTAAACTAACCGGCCATGGCTCAGTTGGTGATACCTGAGCAGGAAGAGGTCCAGAAACAGGGGGACAACTGAACTGATCTCGGAAGTGCTCTGCCCAAAGAGCCGCACCGTGCTACTTATTGTGAATCAAGGCACACGTGGTGTCTCTGATTGTCTTGCTGACGCCTGGTTTTCTGGGACCAGTGGTGCAGAGCAGCGGAAACAGTTTGTGATGATTGCTTACTGCTCCTGCCTCCTCCATTTCTTGAGCCCTACTAGCCCACCAGGCTTACTTGCCAGTACGTAGGCTTCCCTTGAGTTCGCGCCTAATAGTCCGTCTGGTCACATTGTGCTTAGAGTC